TTTTTGTGTCTTTCATCACCTTTTAGGACAGTAAAAATGCTTGGATTTTCTTCAACAGTATCAAGTATCAGTTCAACTAATAGGAAAGTAAATCTAGTTGGTACTTTGGGGGGTCAAAAGTAAAAATTTCCCAGTAATTTTCAAAAGCGACGTGAAAAACAAAACAAAAATTAAGAAAAACTAGAATTTTTAATCAAAATCTGTTAACGAGAAAATCGATTTTGGTTTTTGGTGCAACTCTAAAACAAATGACCGTAGGTATATGAAATTTGGACTGAATGTTTATATTATGATTTACTATACACCATAAGATTTTCCAACTATTTTGACTTATTTTGAGCTGTTTGCGGACATTTTCAGTTTTCATTTTTTTTTGTTTTTTTTTTTTTTAAAATATCAATAAAATTGTATTTGTTTGTTAAAAAAGCTTGAAAATTTAATAGAAGGCCCCTAGTATATTGTTTCAAGGGCAGATGAAAAAAATTAAAAATCAACAGTCTCAATTTTTTTTATAACCATTTAAAGTTCAAATATTGACAAAATACGTAAAAATGACGAAAATTTGCAAATTCATAAAAATTTTTCTTTTTAAAACTAAGATTTTAAAATGTAATATAAGATTCCTAATAAGATTTTCTACCTTTATTAAAAAAAAAAATCTAAGAAAGTCAAATTAAATTTTTATGAGCTGTTGAAATTAAAATTTTTACAACTAGCTTTTAAAGTTAACCTCGAGAATAAGGAACTAATAGTTCATTATTCTCCCGGTTATCACAACAATACTATAAAGCGCTGTGTGTCATGCCATAGTCTAAGACAGGGGTCTCCAAACTTTTTTATTCAAGAGCCACAAAAAAATCAAATGCTCTTAGCGGGCCAAAAGCTTATTAACACATATCATTTTTAATTTTAGGTACTTATATAAATAATATGTTTACTTTATATTTTTGTATAAAATATTGTTTACTTTACAATATTCTTAAATAATAATAAATAGGTATAAATATAATATAATATAAATACATTTTTGAAATAATTTTTTTTATCTATATTTACCTATGCGTCCTATGCGGGCCACGGGCCCGTTAAAACTTGTTCGCGGGCCGTAGTTTGATGACCCCTGGTCTAAGAAGGTTTAACATCAACTGATAAGCGCCCGTTCCGTATCCAGTATATATTAATTCGTACTATGTACCGTAAATATTTTATATACCGTAATTTTATGATAGTTTAGTATGATATCTACCGTATGTCCGTATGCTGCATCACCTGTATCTACTGTATACTCTCATAGTATGATATACTTGGATATATTATATATTATACAGTATACTTCATAATTTAGTAATTAACATTAAGCTTTTATCGAAATCCCAAATTATATTATATTTATACCTTAGTAGGTAGGTATACCTTTAAGCTATACCTCTTTAGTGTGTGTTTGCGAGTCGTGTCGATTATTTGTGATTTTACTGTGTTTTATTTATTACAATTTATTAATTAATTATTATGAGTTTGTCAACTATATGAGTTATTTATAACGGCATAAAATTCAAAACGAAGAGATGTGGGCAATTTTTTTAAAAATACGTGTTTTATTACCAACTGACCAAACATGTACCAAAATTAAAAACCAAACAATTTATGATGTTGTTAAAATATTTACGGTAGATAGCATACTAAACCATCAAATGTGCGGTAGATAGCATATTGAATGAGTACCGTGTGTAAAGTATTCTACTATTAGAGTTGAACTCGAATTTAAATGTAACATTATTTGATGTTAATTCGCAGAAAAACAAATGGTGATGATGTAAGTCCGTTACTATAAGAAATCATAGAGGCACTTAAACTCAATACTCTAATGGTTCTTTATATTCTTATTTTTAGCCCAGAAGAATTGGAATTGAACAATATTAAATTAGAGGTCGAAAATATAGATTGTATAACACTCAATGAAAAAGTGACCCTAATGGATATCATTTCCGTAAGTTTTCTCACGTGTAACATCCAGCGATGGGTTGGGATTTTGAAAAATTGAAAATTACATTTTTAATCCCTTATCCAAGGCAGAATACTTTTTGGAGTACTTCTGTATATAAAAATGTAATTATCAATGAGTAGTTAATGAACAATGAGTTATTAGTAGAGAGCAGATTTTTAGGTTCTTAAAAGATTAAAATATTATGGAAGGGTTGCTTTCACTAGAGCATTTTTAAATTATATCATTCAATTGTTTAGCTGTATATGCTGAGCATTGAACAAAAAACCAAACATTCACTACTCCTCTTGTATATTAAATTAGCCGCATGAATTCAGAAACAACAAATGAAATAGTAAATAATTAATTTTTTTTCTATTTTTGTATTACGATGACTTATGAATATAAGTAATAATACATGCTACACAGTAATATTATAAGCAAAATAATTCTAAAATTTTGTAATTTTTTAGCCGAAAGATGATATCATTAGCAGACTTATTAATGAATGTAGAAATACCCATAGTATTTATATTAATATACTGTATATATACTTGTATTTTAGCCTGTAGGCCAGATACCATTATTGAAAATCAATTATAATGTAAAAATAATTGAAAAAAGTAAAGACTAGTATACTTACCTAATAATAATGTCTAAAATACTGAAATCTATATTATAATATTAATTTAATACTTAAAGTCTACAATATATTATATACATAGGTGCTTAAAAATTTTAAAAATCATACTCAGAGTTTGTATAAACTTATAATTGAAGACTAACAATTGGTTGAGCGTACATAATACAAAATTAAAAAATATGTTGTTGCATTGATGTGGTAAGTATCTAATTCAAAAGCTTATCAAATGGAGCATCAACAAAATCACTGTACATTTTACCTCACTGCATTCCCTGTAATTATTAATTATAATATATTTTTTCAATATAATATCTTACTCAAGTACAAAATTTGTATTTTAATTTTAATGAACGACTAAATAAACATTTTAATTGGAGTCAATAACTGTAAAAGATATCAAGATATTGAGTGTATCTTAGTTTATTTTTATTGAAATTATTGCCCGATTTTTCTTCGGGCAAGTCACGGTGTTGTCCAGAGAATAAATGCCGCCACACGGGCATGGCAGATACCTCAAAGTTGAAAATTGAAATATTTTTTCTGATATAAAAATTAAAAACTTTCATTATTGTAAAATCAATACAATTATCGCTCCTCTCAGAAGTCAGAATCAAAAATATTGAATATGTAACATTGTATTAACATTTATATGTACACGTTATAATTTTATGAACTCAATTAATTATGAGTATATTTTTGTACTTCGACGAAAATAAAAATTAATTACGTTCGTAATTTTCATAAAATATTGTTGTAGTTTGTTTGTATTAAAATCGTCCAAGTAACAACCAATGACTAGAATGGTACCCTATATGTTACTTATTGTAAGATAAACAAATGTTCAATCAAACCAATTGGTGCATAATAATATTAGGTAGTTCGTTTTTGATTCTCATTTGATATCGTAGTTACAGACTTACTACAATGTAGGTATATTATTTATGCTTAAGTACCTATTTTTTACCGATGTCGTTCAGTTTTATTTCAAAAACATTTGTCGCTCAACCTGTAAAAGGACTCGTGTAAGGAAAAACAACATTTGCACGATAAATACATTATATTATAAAATCATTTATGTATAAGGAAACGTATAAAATTTAGCTATAAATTTAAATAATTATATCTATGTATGTACCTATTTATATTATATTATGTTAATGTGGTTCAAACCACGAAAATGTTATGACTAGAGATCAACAAAAAAAAAAATAAAAATAAAAATAATAAATAAAATAAAAAGGAAGTCTTTGTTCGTATCAGATTAAAATATCGTTCTTAATACTGACCATTTATAATTATTACAAATAATATGCCTTTTCTTTATTGTGGTATAGGCACACGCACACATACTATTTAATAACATGGAAAATGTACAAAAATTAAAATAAATTGAACACACATAGACCGACTTTAAATGACTTAATTATATATGCAATTGAAACTCGTCAAAACTATACTTAGGTACTTAGTTAATACACTTAATAGTTAGAGTTATTAGGGAAAAATTTATCTTAATCTACGATTATCTTTAATTTAATATCTCATACCACATTGTTATATTGTATTAAAAAACGGTATTGTAATTCCGTGGATAATTAATAATATATTGTTAAAATACATAATGTTCACGATCAATAATCAGATAAAATTGACTTGAAAATGTCGCTTTAAAACGGAAGTAGCATTCCGTTCATTTTGAAGCGGCATTTGATTTTGTATAGTTCTGTAGGTAAACAACAGACGGGTCAAAAAAAAAAAAAAAACGCCTATAATAATTATTATTTAACTGCTAAACAAAAAGTATTGGCACTGTGAAATATAATAAAAACACGAGTAGGTATCCACTTTTAGTATAGTTAATAGGTAGCAATAATAATAATAATAATAATAATAATTAATAATAATAATAACAATAATGGATATGAATGGCACGCCGTAGTCTTTGCTGGTAATGATGAAAAAATAAAAACGAACTGTGTAAATATAAAATAAAATATCCTAGTTTTATGGCCCTATATTATAATATACTCGTTCGGTTCGAATCGTGTCTACATCTATACTCCAGACCGTTTTGGTAATCGATATGTCATGAAACTATAATAGTTATAATCGTGACGATGATAATAATAAATAAAAATAATATCGTAAACGCCGCCGTGTAAGCAGAGTTGTAGTCTCCGTCGGACATATTAATATTACATTATTATTATATAATAGGTATAATGCGTATAATATAATAGTAATAATAATAATACTGTGCTCGATGACCGCCTCGTACGACCACCGATCGCTTTTGGCCGCATAATATAATATTAAATTAATTTAATTCAATCAAATATATTATTATTATAATATTTAGTATTATTGTGTGCGTTGTTATGGCGTAACCACGTCCAATATTATCCCTTGCATCGGCACGCACGTGCCGCAGTAACCACCGCATCTGCCGGCTATTTTCATGTTTTCCTGTAAATAAAATATGTAAGCATTCGTGTTATTAATTTCCTAACGTTTTTAGGACGTGCGAGGAAAGGACTGTGAGCCGAGAACGAACAAAAAAAAAAAAAAAAAACAGAAAAAACGAACAATAAACAATATAAATAGCGAGTGTAATAATTATTATTACTGCGGTCGGGACACCACTACGGTGTGGGAACACTGACAATGTCGATTGTCTCGGCGTAGTTAAATTTTTTTGTGAAAACATATTATTATAATGACTACAGAACACGTCAACCTGTTATATTATAATATGCAACGCGGTCTTCAGTCGTATAATAATATCGTGAACATTGTTATTATAATGATATGATCCAAAACGGGATAATAATATTATAAGTGACGTTTGGTTCGGGGTAAATTTGAGCAATATCATCCCCGGTGTATATTATAATATTGTGACGAGAGGAGGAATTTTCGAAAGTGAAAAAAAAAAAGGAAAAGATTTCCGTGGCGATAATAACAAAATATGTAATAAATATATAATAATAGTGTCGTCGTTACCTCAATCTTGTTCACCCAAAACGACGTGTTCGACCCTTTGCCCACCCAAGTGGTGTCGTGCGATATTCTCATGCCGGTGCCCGACAAGTCGATGCTGAACCTTCCCTGCGGACAACCCCTCTTCGAGTTGCTGTAACAGTCGCCGGCTTCACCAAAGGGCACGGGTCTGCCTTTGATTTGTTTGGAGAACGTATAATCCTTTGCTGTAAATGTACAACGAAAATTTTAAAACACCGCTGATACAGACGGGAGATTGTATAATAGCCGTTATTATATTATTATAATGTGATATTATACAGCAAGTGGTGCGGAACAATGATGCGTATATGTTGTAACTCGTAACTCATATAGTTTATTGATATTAAAATGTCATCATAGAGGAAAATTACAAGTTCGAGTAACTCCCTCCCGAGATAAAGTAGCATGCCACAAGATAGTTTTAATATCCAAGGAAAATCGAGGAATCATAGATATGTTTTTGGGTATAGTGCGCAGAGATTAAATATCAAGCAGCATATTATGCTATTTTAGATCGATTTTTAGAATAATAATTGTTGTTTTACGTTACTGTAGCAATAAGCAAAGCGTTACGCAAATCGGTTAGAAAAATGCCATAGCACGCTACTCGATCTACAAGGAAAATCTACGAATCATAAACATATTTTTGTTAATAAGTAACCATGACGACGAAAACCTAACAAGAAATCGGTCGGAAACAACAAAAATCTTGTATCCACCTCAAAAAACATATTTATGTTGAAAAAGTTGCATCCAGCTCAAAAACATATTATCTATGTTAAAAAAAATAATATATAATCTGAAGTTATAATAACTTACGCAGAAGTAATTAACTAAAAATGTACTAAATATTGTTCCGGCTGGTAAACATTTTAAAATATTATTTAGATAGTATATTGGATAAACAGTTGCAACAACATAAAATAATTTTGATAAATTGTATTAAGATCTGTGTAACTACATATGAGAAAGTATAGGAAGATGAATTATCCGAAAACAGCCTCCCAAGGAGAGGACTACCCAGTTTTCAAAAATTTACTTTTGAGTAGCGATACGAGTAATATTTTGGAAGCCGTAAATCTCCAAACAAAGTCGCATGTTGGAATGAAATAATATCGTTTAATTATTGTTCAAAACATAATATCGTATCGCGGTGAATGAACAACAATATTATAGGTATTATACTATTACTCCTCGGAAATATAATGATTTTATTGTTCCGAAGTCGTTTGATCGTGAATCACTTACGTCATAATAATATTGCACTTATAAAAACGGAGTAATATCGGAAGTTTGGAACAATCGCGGTTGTTCCGCAAAATTGTGTTCCACTGCAGGTACACAATTCATACTGATATACAATGCTATACCTGTATAAGGTATTCAGGGACTGGAACCTTGATGATTTTTACTGTTCCGGTTCCTGTTCGGTTTCCAGAAAAACTAAAAATTCTGTTTTGGTTCCGGTTCGGTTCCCAGAAAAACTGAAATTTAGGTTACGGTTTCTTTTCGGTTATTAAAAAATAAAAAAATTGTGACCGGTTTTTGTTTTATACTTATGTAAAACAACGTGTAAAGTAAAAGTATCGGCTCCGGTATAAGGTTCCAGTTTTTAAATTAATTTAAATAATGGTTCCAGTGAGGTTCCGGTGTAAAAATTAATTTAAATAAGAGTTTCTGTGAGGTTGTGGTTCCCGATATTCAAAGGCTTCCGGTTCCGAAACCGGCTCTTTTCGGTAAGGTTCCAATCCCTGAATGATGTATTATACTATTATGTATTGTTGTCGCGGTAAAACGCGTTTATCATAATACCATACAATATAATAATAATACACTAATATCGTGCGTGCAGATCACTTACAATCGACCCTCAACGAAGTGATGTTCAGACGGATCTTCAGGAACACGGTGAGTCCAGACGACGGCACTGGCACGTTGTCGCACGGACAGTTTTGACGGCGTTCGCCGTTGAACGGACACGTGCTCGGGTCTTTGAGTCTGTAAGAACAAAACCGTCGGAGATTACGACTCGCGATCAAATAAAATGGACCGCGTGCGCGGTATATTATGACGTTATACCGTAACCATTTAACAGGTATCATACACTAATATTATCATCGACGGCCGAAGTAAACAAGTTTATACACGACTCTGACCTGCGGTGGTGTCGATATATAAAATTGCTTGAACACAACAATAATAATATGCTCGGCACAGTTGAACATGTTTACATGAAATATATAAATGCAACGGAAACCGTGTAAACACAAATCGGGGATCAGCAGTTTGATTGTGACTCGGGTGAGTTATATTAATATGTAAATTATATTTGAACAGTCACTATTGTTACCTACAACTACTACAACTGTCAAATAAGTATGTAGCACTCCGAAAATTCTACCTAATATTAAATTACTTTTAGGATATACCTTCTGCTATAATGGCATTGAAAATAGACAATGTTAGGTATAGTGTTTAAGTATATTTTTCGTTTTCAATTTCTACGGCCGTTATTGCGGATACCTAGTTTTTTAATCTATTCATATAAAATACGAAACAGCAGAATACCTAAATCCGTGCTGATATGTGCTACCATATAGATACATTATATATTATTATTGAAAATAGCATGATATTGAGTTGAGTTAAATTTAATTATTAAGACCTCTGGGCTTAAAATTTGATTAATTGACTATTGCATTAATGACTGAATGGTATGTTTTAAAATTTAGGCAGTGTAGTACGTCATACTATTCCTAAAACAACAATTAGATATAAGTGTATAACCTAAACGGACATGGCGGTAACAGTTCACACTTCATTTCAATTAACTTATGGATTTTTTTAAACAAAATATGTATTGAATTGGTACTTCTCTACTTTTTTACAGTATTTATAATATTACTTTATACCATAGGTATAGTATTATGAAAAATATAGGATTATTATTAAAGTAGGTACCATAAATCAATCGAGTACACAATATTCTGGGACCAAGAGAAATGGAGAAATGGTAATACATGGTAATATTATTTATTACCATAGCTAATCTGGTATTATCTTATCAGCAGTAGGTTAAACTACAGCAGTCCGTTTAGACGTTAACTATGCCTACGATCAGTCGTATGAAACATGCACGACGTGCGTTTTGTCGGCCGACATTTACCTCTGTTCGTAGATCTCGGAATAGTTTTCGGTGTCCTTGGACAAGGTCAGATACTCGACGGGATTGCCGGACCGCATGCCGTGACAGTAGACGGACACGTTCCGCCCGAGCACGTTGATCACGTAATCCTTGTCGACGAGGGCGGCTGCGGCCTGCGGCGATTGTTTGTGCAGGACGTCGGCGCAGGACGCGTGACCGGCGCATCGGCGCTGGTTGCACTTGCGCTTCCTGGGCGGACGGGCGGCCCAGTCGCAGTGCTTGCGGCGCACCTTCTTGGCGGCCGCCCTGTGGAAGCAGAACACCCGCCTCGTCTGCCGGCCCTTCTTGCCGCACGAGTGCGAACACTCGCGCCACACGTCCGGCAGCCAGCCGTAATCGTCTACCGCGGCCGTGGCCGCAGCTGCGGTGGCCGCCACCGACGTCGCGAAGACGCAGGGCCGCTGTTGCGGACACGGTCTCTGCGCGGCCGGTGGTCGGCCCGCGGCCGCGTCGCACCTCTGGTCGTCGGCCGCCGTATCCCTGCCCCCCGGATCGGCGCCGTGCCGCCTGCAGCTCACCCGCCTGTTCTGAGTGCCCGGGCCGCACGTCACCGAACAAGCCGACCACTGCGAAGTCTTCCATCTGTACGCCGTCGTGGCCATCGCCGTCGTCGTCGTCGTGGCCGTTGTCGTGGTGGTGGTGGTGGCCGCAGTGGTCGGTCTGGCGCACGGCACGAACGTCCGGCACGGTTGCTCGGCCGCCGGTCTTACCAGTCCGTCGCACTGCACAGCCGCCAGTATGACACCTTCGTTGTTCTGGCACTGCACCTGCCTATGTTGGTGTCCCTTGCCACACGTCACGTTGCACTGTACGGTCGTGCAAACAAACAATCAGGTACACAAACGTTAATTGCATGGTAGATAATTTGTTTTTTACAAACCGCGTAGGTATGGGACGTGTAATTGGAATGATAGGAATAATGGGAGATTGTCGAATTGCACCAGGTATATTATGGTTATTGGTTATACTTAAACCAAAATGTTCAGATTGCACTCGATGCTAAGGTCGACGTTATAGTGCACGAAGTAATTAGTTTAGAAATAACCCTGACCACATATTTTTTTTGTACAACTTACTATACATCCGTGTAATATTTAAATTGTAACTATATTATTATTTTCAATTTTAAAAAACTCATTTTTATACTATTGTTTTTAAATATTATTGTTGCTTTACATATATTATTATTATTATTATTATTATTATAATGACAACAATACGTTTTAGATAGCTATTAAAAATGAAAATTCCTACTGGTATTCGTTAATCAATAGGTTTTATATAGGAATGAGTGCAATTCAAACATTTCCTATTATGAACGCTAGTGCAATTTATTTCAACATAACCTTTTTCTGTCCCATTGCAATTCGACAAAAATAAGTGCAATTTGACCTTCCCGAATAATGATGATATGACTTGTAATGCGACAACGTGTCGCCAACAATTACATTATCATTAATTTATTTTATATTATATAAGCATGTAGTTAGTTGGGTCCCACGTTTCTCTCGAATATGGCAGATGGGCCCGCACCTTTTTTCTTTCTTTTTTTTTGTATAATTTTGGCAAAGTGAATTAAATTTAAGAAGAAACGATCAGATTTTTTAACTATTGACATTAACATAAATTATTAAGAGTTGTAACAAATTCCCACTAAGGTTTGATAATAATTATTAGTTATGTTGGGTACCTACCTAACAGATTATTTTTATATTTTCTATCCAATAACGTAACTTCATGAAATTAACTGCTACCTATATTGTTTGATCTTTGATAAAATAGAATAATTATTTTTGTGAATATTTTTTTTTAATAAACGTGAAATCAAACGACTCGATTTATGTATGCAATATATGTAACTGTTATGCTTGCTATTTTTTGGAGATTAAATACTTCATGAAAATATTCAAATCCTATGAAATTTATGAGTTACATATATTCTTAGAACAACACATTCGGTATATATTGTTTTATTAACATTTGTGAAAACGAAATGAATACTTTTCAATCAAAAATTCACGATAACAATTTTTATTTAATTCTTCATGAAAAAAATCAAAACACAAATTAACGCATTAAAAAAGGAAAAAGCATAAGCACCATTATAATACGTGTTCGTTTGTATATAGGGAAACAACTATAACATGCTTGTACTAGGTACCTAAGACCTACCTACCAGCTACTGTGATATCTATATAGTATATTATATTTGGGTCATTAATTAATAATTAAAAATTATAAATATTCTAAAATAATTTTTAACGTGGCTTAACTGCAATATATGATTACATTATTGTTGATTAAGAAAATTCGATACCCAATACATATTTTATAACATTTAATATCAGGTCTTCGTCATATTTTTCCTACCTATAGTTATAATTGTGAGACAACTTCTAGTGTTGTGAGAGACTATATATTATAAAAGGTTAATAATATATTATAACCAGTGTTGTAAAAAATACTTTTAAAAAGTATTTGAGTAATTACTCAAATACTTATAAAATAAAGTATTTAAAATACCACCCAAATACTATCTATTGTAAAGTATTTGAGTATTACTCAAATACTTTTTAGAAGTATTTGAAATAATTTTCAAATACAAAACAAAAAAATACGTACGTATACGACATACCTTACCTACCTAATGTTCGTATTATATTTCGCTATGATAATATACTATATTGGTAAGTAGTAGGTACCGAAACGTACCGTTCCAATCGTCGTCGAGTGTCGACGATAAACAGACGGTTTCTCAGAGTAACTAATATTAATTAGCTATTAATAGACGAAAACTAAAACCAATATAGAATTGTTCATAAATGATAAATATATATTATAATATTATTAAGACATTATTATTATTTGACAATGAATAAAAAGTTGAAGGAATAAAAAAAGTATTCAATAAAATAGTATTCAATAGTAAAAAAATGTATTTAAAATACCGTTCAAATACTTCAAAAATAAAAGTATTTGAAAAAGTATTCAATACGGAAAAAAGTATTTGAATACTTTTACTCAAATACTTTACAACACTGATTATAACACATTAATACACCTATGTCGTAAAGCGTGTTGGAAGCTGTTGGGTCAATTAGAATCGGAAGCAAAAATGTGGAAATGTTTCGTCAGGTCTCGCAGTGTCCATTTATGTATAGACAGCAAATTTGTCAAGTCGTGTTTGTACGTTATTTTTTAGCCGAGCACCAGGTATATCCGCTACCGTTATTTAAGTAGATTTTACGAATTCGTTTTTGATTAATACTATTACGGGTTCGTGTGTACCTATAGAGTGGGCTTAAATCTTTAAATCAGTAAGTGGGTATACGGGACCTTGTAGGAATTTTGATTAACTATAAACTCGTAATATTTTATTCAACGTTAATATAATAATTCAACTAAATTTCCTTAGGTATCAAATCGAAAAATTAGTATACCGAACAGCAATCCCGTAATACAATGTCAACTTTTTGAGATCAAGGATATGTGATACATTATTACCTGTATCATAACATACCTATTTACTGATCCCCTCCAAAACTGACTATACGTCTTGTCAGTACTGTACTATGTTTTATCTTTGTGAAATTATATTTACCATAACAAATTTAGTTACTTTTTTTATTAGTAGTTGTGACAACTACAGCGATGGACACTTAAAGGCATACTTTAATTATGTGGCTAGTCATTGTCTTAACGACACAATCATAAACATAATACAATGTTAACTGTGAGAAAATTGATTTTTAATTAACTTTTTTGATTTATTACACCAAGTATGATTAACTGCGTTTAAAATTATTTCCAGTTGGTGACTTGATTTGTCGTCGTCGTTTTATTATTTTTTTATCAGCCTCTTCCCTCCTACGAAATAAATTAACTGGGTATGTGCCTGATTAGATACCTACTTCTCGATCAATTTCAACTGGAAAATATATAACAAACGAGATACAAATCCAATACCACGCTATAACGCTGGTTTAAATGTTTTCATTTCACTTGGAATAATTTAGCATATTTTAGATATTATTGCATATAAATGTATTTTATGATGTTTAGATGTATAGTTGGAAGAGCAATCTTTGTTACGCGCAAGTACCTATATAATACACTATACCTAAAGTCTACATAGATATACATAATATATATTTATTTTAAATTGTTGGGTATACGACAGAACAGTATATTCAATTTAATTTAGAATTATTTTGTTAGAATGTATTTTATAATTTTTTTTTTATTTGTATGTTTAAAAAACATGTTATTTTAATGAGCTAAAAAGCTATACCATTCAATCTTTTTTTTATGTATAGATTTATTATTTTATTTTCAATAAAATTGAAGAAATGTTTTTATTTCTGGGAATGACTAGAAATAAGTGATATTTTTTAAAACCCTGGGAACCTAACCTGTACAAGATCTGTAAGTTATATCATTCAATAATCTATGTTTTCGTTTACTTATTATTATACTCTTATAAAGACATAATACAATTCACAAGTTTATACTAAACTGTAAAATATTGACCAAAATCTCAAATAGGTACATAATGTACATTTAATATAATATGCCTATAGGCTGTAGTATACTATTATAGGCAAACTACATTTGAGCACGTAATATGATTTATTAATTATTAATAGAGTATAACAAAATACCTTGTAAAGATAATATTATATCAACTACAATATTTATCACTTTTTATAAACGTGCCATATTCTGTCTTATCGATATTTTTTTTATGTATATTTGTTATAACAGCATAGAAATATTAAAATTGCAATATTTTCAAAATAATTTTGAATCTATATTAGAAAATGCATCTTATAAAATAGGTTATTGATCATGCGTTATCGACGTAATACCTTAATAAAACTTAAAATATGCAAAATTGCTTAAATATTCTAAAATATATAATAAATATATAAATACATATGGAAAATTATAAAATTGAGCAGTTAACTGATGTACCTAATAAAATAATTAAAATTGGAATAGAAAAACGGTGGGATAACAATCGTAACAAAGTTTGAAATTTTACACTGTGCACAAATATATTATAGGTTGATTATAATCTTTACAATAAACTTGTGATCAACTATGGGTTACCGCGAGAATTATAATATCATAGTATTATATATTTATATTATAAATCAAATAAAAGTTTTAAGGTTGCATGGTGCGATTTCTTCAAGTTGTAAAACAATAAAAGAGGGCATGTTCCAAAATAATATAATGTGACGTAATACATGCAATCATAAAAAACACCCACTTATTAATGAAAAAAAAATTGTTTACCATAACTAAGTTCTTGGTTTCTATGAAACATATACCATACTTAGCAGTTAGTATATTGGTTGGAATGATCATTGGAAAATATAAAATTTCTATAGTATAACTCTCAGCACTACCCAATACCTAACTCAAGTGTTTTTTTTTTAAATAAGCTACAGGATTTATATTTGAGTTTAGTTAATTAAATTTATTGGATGGATTAAATCAAGTTCAATAATATATTGATTTAGACATTTTGTCTTCACAAAAAAAAATATGTTTATATTTTAGAATATTGTTTTAATATGGTATATACTGGTACAATTGAACAGTTTTAAATAACCATCATAATCGTATGATATTATATGATTACGTGATCGAAAATAATTCAAAAGATTTTTACCTTTGACCACTCCCCGAAGTTCCAAGCTATCGTCACGTACGACGGTTGACCTTTACACGGATGTTCGTTACAAGGAATTGAAGTCGACGGTTTAGGTTCCACGCACATTTCTTCGTCGAATAGTTCTCTTGCCCCGTCAAACGGTTGACATACCACTTTCCTTTCTTTTATGCCACCTCCGCACACTTCTGAACACTGGAACCGATGCATTGTGTAATGTTAGTTTGCTTACAAACGTTTCGAAAAGAAAAATATACAGTAGGTATATGGAATATCGCAGCGTATAGTAGGTACGCATTTGTAAGGATAGGTTGTTGAGTTATATCGGACTCGTAAATATTGTTACATTCAATGATTTCAATCGCATAAATATATAACTGGCGAGTGCTTACTTCTCCCCACGATCCTGTTCTCCACGTCGACGCCGGCTTACAGCTTTTATGGCTCTCGCACAACCTTCGGGCTTCGGGTTTTTCTCTGTGCACCACGCAGTGGGTTTCGTCCACGAGTTTACCACTGGCCGAGGACACACAAGTCACCTCGCGCTCCTCAAAACCCTGAAAATTACGATTCAGGTTTAGATCGAGTATGACACTCGAAATTCGCGCTCTTATGAGAACACAAAAAAACTTTGTTTATTGTTATAATATAGGTACTTTGCCACATTCGGCCGAACATTCTTTCCATTCGTCGGCCCGCCACGTAACGCACATCGGAGCTGTACACACTTCGACGCGTTTCGGTTGGTTTTTTGACTTGCAAAGGTTCCACGAAACTGGCTTGGCACTGATCGTATTTATGCAGTCAATGGTTCGCCTTCTGTAACCATTGCCACACGACGCCGAGCACTGAAAGTGAAATAATTTATGTAAACGCACGTCATAATATTATAATTCACACATTATTATTTATTATTTATTGTACATCGTTGAAATGTCGCCGAGGTGATTAAATTTTCACAATGGTAAATAACATATTATAATAATTTTAGTATTTATATGGTAAATTGTGTCGGCTTGTCATTATGGTATATTAATATGGTAACTTACACTTGACCAGTGGTCTGTTCGCCATGTATAGAACTTGTTGCTCTGTATTAAGTTTGTGTCATGTCCATTACTCAGAATTTCATTTTCGTGTATCTCGTCATCGACACCTGCCGGACATGGGTGTAAAGTGCATTTTTCTTCTTCGAGTGGTTTCGCGATCAATGCACATGCAGATTCGTCTGGTACATTACATCGCACCATACGCCTCACTATACCAACGCCACATGTAACAGAACACTGGAAAAAAAAATTCATTATGTCGTGATGTTTATTATTTAGCATTAATATTATAATTTATTTGATACGACTAATTTGTAGATTTGTGATCGTATGAGAAGTTTAAACATTAGTACTTACTCCTATTTTACCGACAGTGATAAAATATTACGATATATAATAATTCAAGTTTATTTATAAATAATATTTTACTTAAAAGCCAGTGTCTGGTATTAACAAATGTAAAACATGTGTCGTTTCATTGAAAATATGAACACCATGTGATAATTTTGTGAAAATGTTGTATGAGTATTTTACTTTAAAAAAAACTATCTATTTTTCAGAAATTCGTTTATTTGGCAGTATATTTTTAAAAATATGAACTTTAACATATATAATATTCTCATGACTTATAAAATCTTAAAATGTGTACTAAAAATAAAACAGAGTGTGTCGTTTAAGTTAAGATATATTGTAATTTTTACGTAATCATTTTCATTAGTTTTCTTGTACAGCTCAAAATTAAAAAAAGTTCAATGTTTTATTTACAATTTCTGATAAATAAGATGAATATCGATCAGTGTTATTTTTTAGCTGAGCATTTACACTTTTACTTATGTGAAAGTGAATTATTATTGTTATTATTTTACAAAAGATTAGTGTCCAACGTATATTTAGTTAACCTTTTGGCCGTTACAAATCTAAAATATAAAGTGTATTTCACATTCATACAAATGAGATCGTAAAAATATCTTTTACCTGAGACCAAAGACCTGTTGTCCAGGCTGGACATGGCTTCATAGAACACGTTTCTTTGGTGGCTGGCATATTTGAACCACAATATTCTGCAGCTAACACCCTACCGTTGTCCATACGGCACCACACGGAACGCTCGATTTGTCCTTCGCCACAAGTCACCGAACACTAATAATATGAGGGACACAAGTTGAATAAACAAAATAAAAAAAATGTATTTATTTTAAATCAACCCTCACCGATGACCATTCTCCGGCGGACCACTGAGGACATTTATCTGTCCCACACACTCGGGTAATTATTTTCTCGCTGTCATTGCACGACGTTTCGTCTCTCGGTTCACCATTGTCATTTACACAGCGTGCTTCCCTGTGCTGAACGCCTGACCCGCAGGTCTTAGAACACTAGACACAAAATGCATATAATTATATGAATATTAATTCAATCCAAAATTATTATGATAATGTTATTGTTGAAGTTATCAAAGAAAGTATAATAGATACAAAACATAAATTAAAATGGACGTTGAAGGAAACAATTATGCATTACTTTAATTAGTATATAAGTATATATTACAATAAAAATATATGATCGCGTTGAACTTGCTGGAGAAATAAATAATGGGTGTGTTTACGATTATTTTGTCATTATGTAAAATAGAGTTAGGGCGTTAAAGACTGTTGGAGAAAACTTGCTTTAACAGATGAAATTAAAACAAAATGCTAATAAACGATCGTGGGATGAGACGTGCACAATGCACATGGTGTCCAAAAAAGTTTCAATACCGACACGATTGTAAAAAAAAAAAAAAATACAGGACCACTTAGAGAATGTATTGCACTGAGAAAAATTTAAAAAAATTATAAGATAGTTTTAGCACAAACAAAGAATTGAAAGAAATACCAAAAAACCGATTAGGATGGAGAATTAACCAACATATTTTACTAGTTACAAAAAAATTGCAATGTGTCACGAAACAAGTTAATCTTACAGGAGTCCATTCTGTGAACGACCATCTTGATTCCAAACATTTTCCGTCACAAGGAATAGTATTGGCAGGTTTTGGTAAATGAGAACACATAGTGTCCGATATTTGAGAGGGTGTTCGTTTGTCGTGCTCCTGAACGCACGCAACGCTCTGGGTCCGTGTGCCTGGGCCACACTGAGCAGAACATTCAGACTGACTTACTGTCTTCCATCTGCACAAAGACAATAATTATTACTTAGGTATTATAATCCAAAAATCGTAAACACATAACTGATTTTATTACACCACGGAAATAATAATACAATTATAATAGGTATAATAACACTTCTTAAAAATAGATATGAAATCGCAATAATAAATTACATCGAATTTATTTATGTACATATTTTTTTTCATTATTATTATTATTAGCTTCTAGCATAAAAACCGTCATAGCTCAATTGCATTGTAATTTGTATTAAATATTTTTTCTATAAAAATCTAGTCAATTACTTGATGGTGCAGTGGAGATTGCACGGTTGCTTTTTCGTGCGGGGTGCGTCGTGTTCGCTACAATACCCTCGGGCTTCCTCGCCGGTTTCTTTTCTGACGCACACGTAAATCTTCGTCTGTTCACCTGAATCACGGAAAATCGATTATAATATTATACCAAAACACGACATATTTCGTCGGCAAAGCAAACAATAGGTTATATATTGCACGCGACCGCCGCCGTATCCACATACCCGAGCACATCTTATCGCACTGTCCCCATTCGTCGGTCAATGCCCATACGTAGACGTCCCGTTTGTCTCGCATCACTGTGTATTGGTATTCAATATCCGGAGCGTACGAGTTTCCAATGGACAACAACTGCGGAAAGAAAATGCAACCATAGTTAACAACACGACATAATAATACGAAGGCTCGATCGCCGGAAGATTTCCGAGTTTCGGTAAAAAAATATAATATTATCGACGGCCCGCGGGACTCGATACGCATATTTTGATTTTTGTCTGTTTGAAAAGAAGACGTATTCGCCAATGCGATAAGTCCGATTGGATATCTACGATTTACGAATGATTACGACTGTTATACAGTCCTGTAAAGTATTTGAGTAAAAGTATTTGAGTAAAAGTATTCAAATACTTTTTTAAGTATTGAATAACTTTTTAAATACTTTCAGCATGAAGTATTTTGAATGGTATTTTAAATACTTTTTTTTGTATTAAATACTTTTTGGTATTGAATACTTTGGTTTTTTATTTCGAACATTTTATTTTTATTCGAAATAATTTTAGAAATTTTAGAATGAATTAAGAACACAAAATAGGTAGTATCACCAATGGGTGGTTTCTTCCCTCAAAAAAAAATCATACGCAAATACCCTATGCATATTTGCTTATTGTTCTAGTTAAGAACAGATTGTAAATTTCATGTAAAAATAAAAAAAAAAAATGTAATAAATATTTATTTAATAAATAATAAATAAAAATGATTATAAATTTACTACCTATGTGTCTATATTACAATAATTAGAAACCCACTTTAAAAACCAAAAGTTTTTGAAAAGTATTCCAAATACTTTTTCAATGTATTTGAATAGTATTTGAAATACTATACAATTAAAGTATTTGAGTAGTATCTTAAATACTTAAAAAAAAATGTATTTGAGTACTTACTCAAGTACTTTTCAAAAGTATTCTTTACAGGACTGCAGTGAGTGTTATATAGGTACGGGATGTTGCACGGATTTAATATGTTAAGAAACTATAGTGCACATTTTGGTTTATTTGATACGCGCATGACTGTTTTAAATATTTATTTAGTTTTTATTGCCCACGTGTTTTATAACATTTTATAATTTAGTATTAAATAATGTATGAGAAAAATCGAGTTTTGTACATAATATTATTTATTCTTGAAGCCATGCAATAAAATATTCAGAATTTTGTAATATGTAAAAATGTGTCGAACACTAAGATGGATAATAATATCCTATACAGTTCTTTACATTTAAAAAATGCATATTTTTTTTCAACGTTTTCTCCTCACTATTATCAATTCATTCTGTAAAATGTAAAATCATATATTTTTATTTTTAACTGCATTTTTCAACTAGTATTGTTGCATTATTCACTGCTTATATTATCGATAGTGCATATGTGATTGTATTTTTAATTTTTGTGTATATTTAAAAAAATTCTCCATGTTAAGATATATTTAATGATTTTTTCACAACTGACTAGTTTTTTTTTTCATCGATAAATAAGTAGTCAACATTTAAATAATTTAAACTTTTATTGTCAGATTAAAAAGATTAAACACCTATCAGGCCTAAAATAGGTATAAAGTTTGGTTTGACCGTTACAAAAATATTTTTCAAACTTCTCAGTGGTGTAGGTATTACTATATATTGTTATACATTTTCTTATAACATGAAGTGGCAACGTTTCCAGACAAAAAAAATAATTTATATTATATTAACATATCCAAATTGTATAACTCTTTTTATCAAATTACCCAAAGTACAAAAAAATATTAATCATACAATTATATAGGACAATTAAGAGGTTTTTTTTAGTGGGGGCTTAGCCCGCCTAGTTTTATTCGTAGACCCCACCCCAGTTTTTTTTAATCATATAAAACATAAGCTATCAGGGTCTGTGCTGCGCTGATACAATATTCCAGCCACCCCAGAACAATTTCCCTAGTCCCAAACTCCACGGATTATCACGATATTTCATATTTCTCTTACGGTGGATAAATAACTGAAATATTATGTACCTCGACGGTGACGTCCTTGTTGAGCGGCCTGGACGAGTTGATGCGCTCGACGGGCGCGTCCGACCCGCTGTACTCGATGGTCGTGCCGCCGTACACGATGACCTTGTTGAACGTGCTCAGCACGTAGTTGCCGTTGAGTACGTACTCGCCGGTCACGCTGTCCACCAGCGCCAGGTAATTGTCGTCCTTGCTGGACCCGTTGTGGCCGTGTTGCCGGATGTCCAGGTTGGACGACCCGGCCGGGATGCGCAACACCTTCGAGTAGCCGTTCGGCGAGCTGCTGTTGTGCGTGCCGGCCACCTGTTGGCAGCTGGAATTGTTGCCGCCGCACACGCCGCACAGGTCCAGCTGGCTGTCCGAGCCCAGCGCGTGGTCGCAGCCCGCCTTCTCGCACATACCGTTCACGCATATGTCGTACTTGTCCGGGGCGCACGGCGTACCGTCCACCACCTTCTCCTTTAGCTGATAGTAAGCGGTGGACGCGGCCACGCGGCAGAACAGCCTGCACCGTTCTTCGTCGTCTGCCCTCGACGGAACGACAAACATTAATATCATTAATTGGTACGCTGTGCAGCACAATATAGGTACGTTCCACATTCGGTTCGGTGCTACAGTATAATAGTATGACCCAGCCGAATATGATACTACCTACATCATAGTACTGTAGTGCCGAAATAACATTGCGAGAACGACAGAAACGAAACGATAAATATTAAAATAAGTCGAATAATAAAAACGCAGGTAAGTCGGTCTGCTGATTGGAGTAGGACGTATCAAGTTTACAAGAAGTACCTGCACACGACACCTATGTACAGTCTGAGCAGAAAAGAGCCAATTTTAAATTAAAAAAACCAGGTAAGTCACTCAGCTGCTGTTTAGTAATAATGCACCACTTAGTCATTAAATAAGTTACAGTAATATATGACGTGTTAAATTTGAATAAAACTGAGATGGAAATATGGAATCATTTATTCAAATTATGATAAATAACCAATAATAATCAAAATAGTGATAAAAATATACATTAAATAATGAAAAAAGCCCCCCATATAACTTTAAAACCAATAAATTCTCTGAATCTAAAATACATGAATTATGTATTTATATAATTTTCAAGGATGTTATTATTATAAACAAAAACTGTCTCACTAAACGAAAATTATGAATAAAGTGATTTATTAATGTTTATATAATATATCATTATATTATATACACATAATTTTAATTTTATATAAATTTGTTGACAATGTCTTGTTTTATGTTCCATTTCACTGTTTCTATTTAGATTTGTTATTATTGACATAAGTATGTTCCGCGTTAATCAATTAAAATCAACTGAACTCAGACGCATTAAGAGTACCACCTAGCCTTGCGGTAATTTATATGAAAACAAAATAGAAAAAGAAATTTGACGCAATTTGTCAATGTAAATAAATTATGGTCAAATTACGTCCAACGAGTTACCCGATCTTATCAATTTGGAACTTGAGTAGTATTTAATACAACGATATTAAAATTGTATGCACTTACCTACACATCTTATAATACATAGCAATAACATGCGTGTTTCCTTAATGTTTGGAGGAAAACGTCGTGGTGGCAATGCTGTAGCCAGGAGGGCACTGGGGGCGCAAGTGCCCCCTCCGACATTTTGTTCATGAACAATGGTATCATAAAGTAATGGGTGATAACTGATAAGTATAAATTCTAAAAAAGACTAGTGAACAATATTTAAGTGCCCCCCCTCAACAATTTTCTGGCTACGGAATTGCGTGGCGGTGAGTGGTGACGGGGCTTAAGATTATTTTCCGGCTTATGTTTTTTTTAAATTATTAAATTATTTTTAACTTACATCCGCCGTACTTTGGAAGCCACTGAACGTCCGGCTCGAGGTCTGCTATGTTAAACGTCTTGTTGTTGAACATTGCACACTGTTCACCGCTAAAAATGCCAATGGCCCGATTAAGTCGCCGTCGGAATGAAAATATTATGTACTTGCAGGTAAGGTAAAGACGGAAAAACTCACCGGAAATCCGGAGTGCCAGGCGGACAGTCGCTCGTCGCACAACTTCGCACTCGAACTCGTTTCCCGGTACAATATTTTCCGCCATTCGACGGCGGTGGGTCGGTACAATCTCTGTAACTCTTCTTCACACCTCCACCACACGTTCTCGTACATTCGCCATAACTATAAGTGGATTTATATCATATAATATCATATAATATAGGACATAGATTATTCGACATTTACGGTATAATGTTATATCACTATACACTCGATGAGTTGATTTTATAATAGATATAATATTGCATTCAATGACTTACACATTGCAGTAAGCTTTTACATTATGATGATCGCGTTCCAAATTAACGGAACATTTTTTTCAAATTACTGCAATAAATCGTCAGTGTGCGATTTTCTCAAGGCTGTATACTTATTTCTTATTTTTTTTCTTAATATTATGTTATGCATATAAATATAAAAAGTAAACAAAATCTTCTTAAATGTAATTTCATACTTTAAACCGTATTAACTACTTACCAGCCATATGGTATTCATATTTTATTCGATTAGAAAATCTAATAATAATATTAATAATATAATATAAGCCCTATCAAATTATGCGTCATTCAGGTTGCCATTTAAAAGCTATATTTATGGCATCAAGTAAAACGGTAGGTACCTACTGCATTATCTGCACAACTCATTGATAATTATCAAGTTTATATGCACTTACGGTTGCCAAGATCCCCAACCGCCATCGACTGGTTTTAACGCATTTCGATCTTTGGGCACACATTTCCCTTGCTGACACCAGTTTTTACTGCTCCAGCATTGTGTTCCATCCGCCCAAGGCATGTGTTGTGTACGGCAGCCATCTTTCTCCCCGGAACCAGTGGTACACCATAATCTCTGACACACCGGCTAAGAGCATAATTATTATTAAACAAGAGAAAGTAAAATTAACTTAAAAAATAAAATGTAATAACCACCATATAAGAACATATTTTTGATCCGGACCCGTAAATCAACTCGCATTGTTTGTCTCCCGAATAGTTTTCGCCGGGAAAATGTTTTTCGTTTGTCTGATTTTCGATCTCGAGATAATCTTTACTGGGATCGTCTTGAAGACATTTACCGTTTCCAGCCCTGTAAATGAGTTATTATTAAATAATAACTTAAATAGCTGTCATCCGTTGTTAATATTATTATTATCAACAAAACTCACTCCAAATACTCTGTCAAAAAGTGTCGGCTGCAAGCCGACCAGGTCCACGGATGCGAGTTGTGATCCAACATTCTTGACATGACGTTATGCATTCCGTCTTGCTGTACAAAATCTTTACATTTATTGTCATCGTCGTGTGGCATATTCAACCTAAAAGATATTTATAGCAACCATTATATAATATAAAATATACAACTATAAGACCGCCACCGTAAATCTATTATAACAGACGTACACGTGTCCTAATTCGTGGGCAATTGTAAATGCAGCGCTCAGCCCGTTGTCCTGTACGATTGCGCAACTATTGACATTGCACATAGTTCCTAACTGTGCCAATCCGAGGGTGTTATCACATTTCTTCTGATTATGATTTCGACAGACGTGTTCTCTGTAAAACATTAAAAAAAAAGTGTAGGTACACAATAAACACGTACACCAGAATACGAACTATTATAGGTATTGGTACAGTAATTTCTAGTAACAATGTCAAATTATCTAAAAAGCGTGACTGGTATATACAAACGCAAAGAATGCGGCTAAATACTGTAAAACGGTGCCCATATCGAAACAATTCTGGAATATCAAAATGTCTCGATCACGTCAAATTCGTATCTATACGACGCGTATTGTAAACTGATTGATAAATTGCATTTGGTGTTCATTCATGAACTCTTACAGCATAGGTATAGTACGCAAGTCAATGAAATGGAAAAATAAAAACCGCATGTGAATTACAACCGGTTTCGATACTATCTCCGATATGACGAACAATAAACGAGTCACCGCCCTATGACCCCGCGACATAGTCTCGCTTAGTATTATCACTATTATTATTATTATTTATTATTATTACTATTGTGTGTGTGCGTTCGTGAACGACCGTTTTGAAAATTATACTTTGACAAGAGTAATTTGTTTGTGTAATACGACAGTTATTCTAGTCGTCGCCAACTACATAAAATTATTATTATATATACGAGCGTCACTGTCGCATGCGGCGGTCTTCGTCTAGACAGCTCGTTCGCTTATACTTTTAAAAAAATAATAATAATAAGTGTACCTGGTCAATAGTAGAGCGGAATCGTGGTGGTTTGAGCTGGAATCGTTCTCGTCGTTGTGGTGAGTTTGCCATTCGCAAAATCTGTGCAACATGTCTGCAGCCGCGATACCGCCCATGCGACTACGGTTTTCGACGAAATGCACATCTCTCAAGACGACCAACTTGACCACGGCTATGTGCATCGGGTTCCCTATGCTCTTGTCCTTGTATATCTTTGATACCTACAGTTTCAAACGTGTTATAAGCGGTGTTCATCATTTTTTTTACGTATAATACACTTATAAGCAGTGTTCATAAGTTTTTTACGTGCCTCGCCGTACAATAACGACTAGGTTCGGAGACTGCACTTACGATCGACATGAGGGTGAGCACGTAATTGTGAAGCTCCTTCCCGTGGTATTCGGCCATTTTCTTGTCAGCGACGACCATTAGTTCTACGACGTATTCCGAAGTCAGCGATCGCTTGTTTCTGGGTTTTTTAGTGTACGGCAAACCGGTGGAGCTCGAAAATATATCATTTTCGGTCAAACGGTTCGGACCGCCGTCGCCAACAATAAACTGTCTGACTTCGGACGTTGCACTATCGTCGTCAGAGATGGTATCCGAATCACCGTTGTCTAAAAAACGAATAAATTGCTTTACAAGAATACAATTAATATAAACAATTTTTTTATTTCTTCGCGGCAATATTATTGCGACAGATAGTGAATATGGCTAAAATAGTCCATAATGGAATAATATAACTTTATTTGTATTGTGTACATATTTAAATTACCCGAAATAAATTGACAGTTCAATACATAATAAAAACTATATTGTGTCCCTGATTATTGAATGTCTATACTGGAAAAGAAAATTTAAGTGCAGACCGTGTAAAGAAATACGACATTTTATTGTTATAATATTTGAGTTACAAATTCATTACGGTCGAATAGTACATATCGTATACGGTTATTTAAATAAATATTAATAATATAATCTATCAAACAATACGGATGTGTTCATATTATTACGTAGGCTGAGAGAAAATCGATTTTGTTCATAATTCCTAGTGACGGTTTTAAAATGTAGGTACTCCTGTCTCCACGGGAGACTTCAGCTCTCTCTCTCCATAAAGTGTTCTATTGTGGACCTTGACATTGAATAAATGCAGTTACCCGACAAGTCGAATGAAGCCACTGCAGAGTATATAGTGAGTGGGATTTTATTTATTCTGAATTTATATTAATATACGTCTTGTCTATGACGAAATATTATTATCAAACACCACCCGATGGCCGATTCCCGGTTACAAATTTCCATTTATCGATATAATAATATAGAAATGGGTATAGGTACCAATGTTACTGTTATTATTATCATTATTATTATTATTATTATTATCCCCATTATTGTTTTTCCTCTATAGAAACAACACGATCTTGGACTATGTGGGAATTGCAATTCTACATAATATTATTACTACGAGCACGTATATCGCATTTGTATATGTTATCTTGTACCACTAATGGACTCCAAATACAAGACACGCGTTTTAAATCATCCGTACAACAGGCGTATTATAATCGTTATCGGACGACGGTGGACTAGCTATCTAAACAGCGTCTTTCTAAACAGCGGGTTCAATTATCATGATTTGTTATTGCTACTTCTTCGACTCCCATAACGCGTTGGGTTAGGGTACCACAACACGCGTGTATACCTTGCTCCTCGTACAATATATACATATATATGTTAATGTTATCGTGACGGAGACGACGAATATGCATACAATATAATGCGTTGCAGCGTGTACCTATATGCACTCGAAAAGCTTCGCGGTGCCGATTGGATTTACGATATATTATTATACCTACACCAGTATATGGTCGTGCCCGTTAACTGGATGTTTACAATGGTCTGATTGTACGCACCACCAATGTTACCTATACAGTACCTAACTATAATAATAATATATAGATATGTAGGTGTACGTGCAGCGTGTGTACGATTGTTGTTCGTACATTAAAACGGGATAATCGAGACACGAGACCCACCCTATATAATATAATATTATGCAAGAGCAAAATCACGTGTATATAATATAATATTATATTATTATACATTTATACGGCCCATTAAAATCGTGTAACGTTTTAAAATAATATACAATAAAATGTTTTCTCAACGGAGTCGAATGTTATTATTGCACACAGGACGTACCTTGTACTCCGCAATTTTTCTCGGGTTGATGCGATTGTTGCGTTTGCCCGGGCAACTTGTCACCCTCGGCCAACTGACCGGCCCGGTAAATGGTGTGTAATGCCGGAGTCACGTGGTCGTCTGTCGTCTCTGCGGGCTCTATAAAGTAATTGCCAGTGGTTGTGCGAATGTATCCTGTCTGAGAAACAGAAGAAAAAAAATACAAAATAATGTCAGTATATGTTGGTGTTCCAAATACATCGAAAATTACAATCAGTAAATCGAATCGAAAAAAAAAATTTTAATTATTGAGCAAAAATAAATAATAATATAATATAGGTAATAAAATATCTAAAATAATGATAAATAACTCATCGGAATTAATAAAATTGGCTTTTTATCCTAATACATAAAATATCATGTATTAGGTTAGGTTAAGGAAATAAATAAAGGAAGTAAATTATCAAACAAATAGGTAGGTATCCATATTAAATTTATTACATTAAACAGTTTATTTTTTCAGTGTTATTAACAATAAAATATATAAACAATTCAATGTCTAATCAAAATCAACTAAACCGAAACGTGTTAAGTCATCATCACGCACGAGGAACTTTTGTTATTGAAGTGTTTGTCATACAACTGCAGTGGTGTTATTTCATCTCTATTTGCAATGCCCACAATTATTAAAAGAACATTGATTCTTATGATACAATTAAAAAATTGAATAGTGTTAAGATATTATAATGACACAAAATAATATTGTGCGCACAGTGTGACGGATTGGTCACGAACACAATAGTGATAAAATGTGAATCATTGAATTAATAAATTCTCTATCCTTGCTGGAAGGCTTTTGGATATGATTTCCTTTGTTCTAAACCCTCAACGGGTGATAAGCCGCGTACACCTATTTTGTTTTATATTGTTCGTTTCCTCACATCGCACACGAAGTTCTTATTAAATGTTAAAAAACTAATAACAATAACAAAATGAATCATATTTCCTAGTGAATCATTCACATGCAACGTTTTATTTTTCGCACTGAGAAGTGCGAGTACAAACATAGGCGAACATTTTATTTATATTATTATATTAAATATATATTTAATATTGTTTATATTATATTTTATTTATTATTTATTTTAATATTGTTTTAGTTATAAGCTATAACTATAATTATAAGACAGTTACCGTCGTACAACAATAAACAAATTCTTTTTATAGAATACATAATATTTTTTTATTTCTCTGTATTATTGATATTAAAAGCACTTTCCGTTTCGAATATTAAATTGTTTAAATTTATGAATACAACGTTTCGCAAATTTTTGCAGCACACACAAAATATAAACTTGGTTAATTATAGATAAACAGGGATCGCATACAAGGTAAACAGATAATAATTTTGCCATTGATCTTTAAATTTATAGCCTATTTGTCCTTACTATCCGATATATAATATCCATTAACAAAAAATCGTAGTCTAAAATTATAAAATTTCATCTGCTTCTCCTCTGTTGTAGTACACCAAACTAAAACATTATGAGTTCAGTACTTTGTTTAATTCTTAATTCTTTTTGCCAAATAGTGTTTGGACCATTATACCTAATCAAATTTTGTTTCGTACAGCGTACTGCGTATACTATATCCGTTCTACATTTTTTGATATGAAAAATATTAAAATAATTTAGATAACAGTCAACAATGATAAGTAATTAAAGTCATCAATATTTAACAATTGTATGCGTTTAACGTTTGTTTATATATTATATCCATTTTAATCAAACTTTCTAAGCGCCTGCAATGTTATCAGCTCGGGACAAATACAATTATTAATATTTACAATACATAGTAAAATATTCAACTATATTTTAAAAAATAGGTACGTATATTTATATATATATATGTATATATATATTATATATATTTATATATTTATATATTTATATATTATTCTTATTCTTTGTATAAATGTTGTAATAATTTTATCACTTCACTTCCTTGGAGTAAATTTTTTCCATGCATTATTATTTATTAATTTTTATAATTTGGTATGTATGTAGTTATAAATCATCGCAAACACAATTAAATTCTAATTAAAATTTGATTTAGCCCGATTTAGCAAATGAGTACAAAACTATTTTGTTCCACAATCCTGAAAATACGTATCACACTGTTTTTAATTGTGGAGAAAGTTAAAAAAAATATGTATTTGTCTCTAGATTACACAATCCGCAGTTTTTAATTTCGAACATATTTTATTAATAGGGTGAAATTGAAATTTTAAACTCGTTTTTACTAGCCAAAAAAATATGGTTTCCTATAAAAAAAAACCACGTAATTTATGTACATTATTTTAAAACCTACAACTGCAATATCTGCAGATACTTAAGGCACACATACAAATATATATATATAATAACATGGAACTGTATACACTACATTACAGCTAATAGTTATTGGCAAACAAGAACAGAAATAATAATAATAATAATATTATAATGTCGTGTCTTATTACATATCGACGTAATGTAAACACTAGCGGCCGTGATAGTTTTTATGCGAAAAAAAACCTAATTTTATCTTTGAGAAATATAACTCGGTGTACGGCCGGCAATTATTACATCTCAAGGCTCTCGATATCCCAAATATTGTAAATGGACACGGGATACCTACCATCAATGATACACTCGTACATGCGCAGAGATGTGTGATTTATTACCTTGTTCGGTCGGGTCTAAAAATCTAAATTACCGAAATGAAATTTCAAAAGCCGTTCACGATTAAAACATAATAATAATTATTGTGAGATTAACCGTCACGAACATATTATATGGGGTTATACAACCACATAACATTGTAGAACCGAAGGTAACCTGCATGGTTATAGGGTCACCCGGCATCCGCGATTCAATAGTCAACACGTGTTTGAACTTCAATCTAAGACGTGATTGAATATCGATGGTAATTTGTTAACTGCAATATTGGAGAGAAGAAATATTCTTCGTCTTAGGTGGCTTAGGTGTTCAATTCATAAATCAACATAGATTTTCGAAGAGCAGTAAATATGTCTAAATGACATATAGTTAGGTAATTTACATAAATACATTTGTGTACGTGTCTTACTCGTAGCTATAATCCATATGATAAATATAATTATATGTTTTTGTTAATATGTAGACACAATGGTATACATTTATTTAAAGTTAATATTTATTAACTTTTACCTTTGTACTTTTAATGTTAAGTTATAAGTACTCAAATTATATTATACAATTAAGCAGATCAGAGAGATTGAGACTTTATTCGGTTAAGTTTCTTTTATCAAATGCTTCTTGACGGAAAATCTAATTTGGCTTGGATTTATATTTAAATAAATTGAGCATCTAAAAGTTTAAGGATGGACTGCTAAATATTGCCTACATTCGGTTCGTTTGGTTCACCTCAAAAGCCAACATAATACATTCCTAGCTAGATAATTATTTTTCTATAGTAGATCCTAATGAAAATTGTAGAAATTAAACCAAATTTACGTTATATAATTTTATTTTAGAATGTTTACTACAAATAAAAACAATTATCACCAAACGCATTAAATACAATTGTTTTTATATAATAAATTATTGCTAACTAATTACTAAAATAAATGATATACAAATAATGAATAGGAGGTACCTACATATTTTCTAAGGCTTAAAATGGAAACTATTTAATTTTATTTTGACAACTAAAAATTGATACAATACTAGGTATATGCTAACAGCTCGTTAGCAATTATTTGAAAGTTAAAAATGATTTAAATACAAAAAATTACAAATTTAACCAGTTATCCAATTTTTGCATTTTGTATGTTTATAAATTTATAACAGCCACGGGATATTTTTAAATATTATAATAATCGACTGGTTTTTCAATAGGTTTTTGCAGGATTATTGACATTAATTTATGACATAAAGAGTAACAAATCAATTTAACTTGTTTTCTCTTTATTATAGTTGTAAAACTAGTTTAGAAATCTTTTATTGCTAAAAACCTATTACCTATTAAAAAAAATATATTTGATAAGTTATAACTTTGTCGTAAGGTCCTTTGATAACAACCATTATATTATTCAATTCATACTAATAAACCTATTTCTGTATTCACTACCTACAAATTATTACTCCTGCTATTTTGTATTCATAGATCTTTAAATCTTCAAAGTTTAAATGCAAACATTTTAAAATAATACACATTTCTAGCTAATATTATACATAAAGTTTGTTTTGATATAAAATTAGAATATTATATGGGTGATACATTATGTGCTACTGAAATAATAAGTTACTGTCTGAAAAGATGATGAAAATATAAATTTATCTAACATTTTATAATTGTAAGTTATAACTCAAACTGAAGCCACCCACATGTCTAATTATCATAATAATTGTAGTCAAACAATTAAACCCACTCAAATTTGTTCAAAATTCAGTCTCAACTTCCAATTATAATTATCGTAAAAATTGTATAGCCCACATTTATACTTCACAATGAACATAATTTAACATCTCAAATTTGTATACTTTTTTTCAATGATATTATGTGCATTTTTCAAGTTTTAAAAAAGAAAACTAACTTAGTATCTGTTAAGTGCTTTAACACAAAAAAAAGTAATTTAGTCACTTTAAGTATTAATCAATGCATTTTTTGAACCGGTATAATAGCTACTCCTATTTTCTTCGATATTAATAAATGTGTTTAGTTTTTTTATGCATTTATTAATACTTAATATTTACATTTGCAAAATAAATACCATTCAAATAGAAACCATATTTGAATGTGATTAGTTCATGGAAAAAATACCCTATAGAGTACAAATTAAAATATATGTAAATTAAGTGAAAAAAATATCGTTAGCACAGATTTCAAAAACAACTTGATAAACATTATACTATTATTGTAACAATAATTCATAAACAAGACATATTTTAAAATAATAATAATAATATATAATGTATGTCATAAACTGTATAATAGAAAAAACTGTATAAAATATTATACAAAATGTTATTCTATTGTATTGCGGATGTAATAAAACACAATAGACGAAAAAAATCAAAAAAAAAAAAGCATAAGCAATTAATCTTACAAGAGGCCATAAATAATTTTTAAATTTGGAATAAGTAATGTATACGAATGCATTGACTTATCTGACAA